GGGCAGTATTATTTATCACCTGATTTTTTTTTATCAGAGGCTTATCCCCCTTCCCCTTTTACTATATATCTTGATTAGGTTTTTATATATAATTTTAAATTTCTTACCCCCTCTCCCCCCTAAAAAATTATCTGATTTTTGTTATGTTCCTTAAGTTTACAACAATACTAATATATTATCTTGAATTAGGAATTCTTTGAGTGAATCCAATAGTAATATCACTAAAAAAAAAAATAATAAAAGAAAAAATCAGTTAGTAAAAGCCATGACTAAAAAAAAAAAAATATACAAGACAAATTTGACTTCAAGAGAAATTTAGTTCAGGTTACTAGTATTCTGGTCGCTATAAACTATATATAAAAAAAAAAAAAAAGAGTTAGAAAAAAAATATATATAAAGTAATAGAAGGTATTATAGCACAGAACAAATTATAATGCACCTGGCATATCTCACGATCTACTGGCCAAAATCGAACAAATTTGGTATCAATCGAATTGTCTTATTGAGATGAATCGAATGGTCCTAAAATCGTGTAATTCTAATTATTAGATCATGAGATATCATGATTTGAATACTATACAGTAAACTTTTTCTTTAGTTCTAGCAAAGCATAAGAATAATAAATATAAAGCAATATAAAGATTATATAAAATAGCCTTGAACTCATCAATAATAAAAGTTCAAAGTTCGCAGCACAATTTTTATACTTATTTCTAAAGTATATTGGATAAGCTAAGTAACCAATTTCATTTATATTATATGATGCAACAAAAGTACAATGTATTCGATCTTCAATTTATATAAGTCTTATAGATCAAAATGCATAATTAAATAGCAAATATGTTATATAACATTAACTAACTGTAACTAATAAAATACAAAATATTAAGGCTATTATAACAAAACACTTTTTAAATTAAATATTTTTTTTAACTAATAATTTTGGCAAGTTATTTTATTTACAAACTGTAGCAAAAATTGCAATTAATTGACCAATTGTAGCTGCACCACCAATTAATTAATTGAGGTCAAATAATTGCAATTAATTGCCCTCACAATCAATTATTTGGTAGCCCTATCTAAAAGTAATACAGAGATCTTGCACTCAAACTTCAGCCCAAATATAAGCTTATACTTGAACTTTATAAATACGCTTTTTCTTATTGTTCTCTAAGTGTATTTTCTAAATGCTCTCAAATTTTGGTACAAATATAAGCTTATACTAGGCCGCAACTGCACTTTTCTTTATAATTTTTAAACGCACATAGTTGATTAGAAGTTTGGCTTATAGAGATGGATTTAGAAAGGTTCTCTATCCTTTTAATAAAATCAAATATCACAGCTAATGCTGCAAATTGGCTGATGCCAAAATCTGGACTTATTTTTATATTAAAGGTTAAAAATTTTTAGGTATTTTTTTTTAGAGTTGGGTTAGGATTTAGGATTAGAATTGATAATCAAGGAGTGTGTGTAGATTTCGGTAAGAGTTATATTTTTAAATTAAGATCTCAAATTTTAGCATCAACTGTGATATCAAATAATTCAATAGCTAATCTGAAATAAAGCTTTCAAGTTTTTCTTAGCAGTGTTTATAAAGATTAATTGGCAGGTTCATGTGTTAGTAATAATAATAAAAACTTAGTTATATATTAAAATGATAATAAAAACTTAGTTACATATTAAAATGATAATAAAATCTAGTAATGCATTTGTAAGTAAATAATCAATATGTTATAAATCGATATACTTGCCTTTATTTATGCTTTAATAAATCTGATTTGCCTTAAATCTGTATTTAAATAAATCAATCAATCAACCTTAAATAAAAAATAATTTAGTATACCTCCTTATAATGATCAAAAAAAAGCTATTGAAAGCACTCTTAAGGAACTTGAGAATTTCTCAACCATTTCTAATAGAAAAATTGCAGAAAGATTTGGAATTCCTGAAGCAACCCTAAGATGTGCTATAAAAAATAAAGGCTCTTTAAATTATCCAGGTTCTGCCAAAGTTTTAACTAACTATGAAGAACAACAATTAGTCGGGTATTATCTAAATATGCAAAAACTTGGCTTTGGATTAACAAGGTCAGATGTAAATTATTGTGTCATGAAAATCATTAACAAAAGTAAAAGACTGCATCTATTTAATGAGAGTGGGCTGGACAAGTATGTGGGGGCATTTCATGAGGAATCATTTTGAGCTTTTATTTTGTATTCTTTAGACCTTAAATGAGGCATAAGCACAAAGGGCCAACCCTATTATAGTGCAAGATTATTTTAATAAGCTTCAGAAAATTATCAAAGAACATTCTCTTACTTCTGATAGAATCTGAAACATGAACAAAACAGGTTTCGTTCTTAATCCCAAACTTTGTAAAGTTATTGTAAAAAAAGGTGTACAGCAGATAGAAATAAAATTTTGTCTACTTAAAAAAAATAAAAAATATTTATTTTTTTTTATACCTTCTTAATAGATTTATCAAGTTTCTTATGGCAATTCTAATAAACACATTTCTGTATATCCAACTATTTCTGCTACCAGATCATATATTTCATCACTTATTATTTACAAAGAAAAGCGTATAGTTTTAGGTTTTTAGAGAGTGCTCCTCCTGGCTCTGTTATAGAATTTACAGAGATCGAGTATATGCAGGAGTTCCTTTTTCAAAGTATATTGAGCATTTTATTCACTCAATTCCATCTGCTCATCTTGTTTTTTTGATCTTTAACAGGTATAAAAGTCATGTTAGCTATGCTAATATTAACATTTGCTATAATAATAATATTCTTCTATACGCGCTTTCACCCCATATGACTCATATACTTCAACCAGCTTTTATTTGTATAGCTTAAAACTGCATACCATAAAAGCTATAAGCATCTTTGTATTAGTAATAATAGAGAAATCATAACCAAGCACATATTTGCCAAGGTTTTAGGTCTAGTATAACTCAAAACTTATACACTCTTGGCAATTTGTAATGCTTTTAAAGTAACTAGAATATGGTCTTTTAACCCCAGTGCAATTAGCTCCATCCATCTTAATCCCTTATTAGTTACTGAGCAGCCTAAAATCCTTTCGACACAATCAACTCCATCACCTTTGATTAACATTCTTTTGATACAATCGATTCTATCACTTTCGACAATTGTAGCATTGTTCTCACAGCCTCTTCCAAAATCAAGCTCAAATAATATACGTTTCTCTACTACATTAAGATCTGAAGTCAAAGATCTTAGCAAGAGAGTCAATGAATTAGAAGCTGAGTTGAAAGCTACAAAAGAGGAACTAGAAACTCTCAAAAACCCAGTATTTTTTCTTTATTCTCTGCTGCAGAAAAGAAAGAAACAAAAAAAATGCCTTTTGCTCAGCTTCTTACCAATAAAGCATCATTAAAAGAGTTAAA